ATGTAAATCTTATTTATAGTGATCATGCACTTAGCTATACAAGCACTGCACTTAGCTAGCTAGGTATGTGCGGCCCCAAAGGGTACGGTTTTTCAGCCGTTTTGGTCATAAATAGGTAATCAATTTTGGCCATTTTGGTCTCAAATAGGGTATGGTTTTAGCACTCTAGTCTTGAATTGGGTATGTTTCTTAAAAGAAACTACTTTTTCATCAGTAAGACCGTCAACAAAAGCCCTTCATAACTTATGTTTAGGGAAATTGTGTCAGCCGCAACGGTCAGAAATAGGGTTTCGAATTTTTGGCCAGGTCATAGAAGGGTAGCAAAAATCGCAGATTTTGGTCATAAATAGCGTAAGGGGTTTGGGAAGTGGGCCGCACACCCCCACCCAACTTTTTTGGGAGTACCCCCCTGGGGTATAGGGTACAATTTCGTTAAATGACTGTTATTTGCATAAAACAGTTTATTCAGGGGAGGTTAAGGTGGTATGATTTCTTCCATTCAGTTGAACACTCAAAATTTGAATGGTTTGCTCATCTTTTAACCAGAACACTTTCCCTCGTTAGTTTTCAGAACGTAGGTACCAATATCTTAGCGCCCATCCGATCAGTGTGAATAATAGTGTTTGGAACTGATTGAAGTTGCATTGACTGATGCAGTTTTATAATCATAATAAAATTATTGAACATTCGTTGTCATAAAATGCCAACAGAGGTATATGATGAGGTTATGCGGTGAATGACCAGCTCTTGTATGCGTCAACCCAGTGATTACCGAAGACCCAGTCTGGTGTATTTTGTATGACTTCTTCTAGGAAAGGTGAAGATGAATCCTTGCCATGAAGGTATTGGGCTGCAACAGCAAAGTCTAGCAGACTGCTCTTGGCTGGAAGTTTCCCCTGTGCCTGAAATGTGATAATTGATAATTTTTTAACGTTGTTGCTGATACAGCAGTGGGATAATCCTGTGGGGTTTAGACCATATATACGGAAAAACAGGCAGGGTGTAAACAAGCAAAGAAAGTACATGTTGGAAGGAAAGATGGAAGGAAGGAGGGATGGAAGGAAGTAGTGAAGGGAGAAAGGAGGCAGGGAGAAAGTAGGAGGAAAGAAAGAAGGAAGGCGGAAAGGAAGGCAGAAAGGAAGGCAGGAAGGAAGGCAGGAAGGAAGGCAGGAAGGACCGAAAGGGTGAAGGAAGGCAGGAAGACATAGAGGGAGCCAAGGAGGGGGAAGGTGGCAAGGAGGGAGGGAAGGAGGAAGGGAGGAAAAGAAGCCTGGGGAGGGGAGGCAGGAGAGAGAAAGGGAGGCCAGAAAGGAAGTAAGAAAGAAGACAAACAGGCAAGAGGAAAATGAATGAAAGAAAAAAGGAAAAAAAAAGAATGCAAAAAGAAAAGAATGATGTAAAAGGAAAATAAAAATGATACTCCACTGGCTTTTATCTGAATGGTCACTGTTTCATCTGCATATGTGGCACTTGTTCGAGGTGTTTTTCAATATATAACTCACCACTAGGTCAAGTGATAGCTCCCAGGGTCCAACATCAGTACCATGAGAATAGTAAATAAAGTACGTCACTCTGTCTTCGCCATTTTGGTCCTCAATTGGGTACAGTGGACCAAGAGATGACGTCAGCAGATCCACTCCACTTGCGGGCGATAAATAAACAGTCATGTGATCGGGACCTAAGTTATATAAAAAATGAATTAAGGTTCATGAATGAATGCTTTAAATTATAATTGTCACATCATACACCAATGATTGCTAGATGTTTTTATTAATTTTAACAATGAGTAATTTTATTCTGGGACTGCAAGTATAGTAGCGCTTGTTTATCAAATAAAAATGAATTAAGTTTGTCACTGAAAATTGATGGTGTCTCTGTACACTTTTTTCATGCTTTTATCTTGAGAACGTTTGAACACCTAATTTCTATGTTCACGACCGTGCGAAGTGGACTCTGGGTCAGGCTACTAGTGGCTAAGGAAGGTACCAAGATGGGTGATGAACGTGTAAAGCTGCAGTACTGTGTTGCTCGTGAAATCTTTTGTTTGGTGATGGTCTTGTAGCCCTTGCCCTTGAGGTTTATTCAAGGCACTAACTACTTACAAATGGAACTGAAAATTGTGACTTGTAACCGATCAGGGACATCGTACAGTGTGTGTCCTTGGATCTCTGTAGACCCATGATTTGTCAATGTTTATGAACTTTTTGGGTGGAATCTTGGATGCTTATCCAGTAGCAGAAAGTCTCAAGTAAAAAAAAAAACTATTTAATAGGCTAACACAGGCACCAGGTTACTTATATCTAATAGTACGAACATGCAGGAAAGCCAAAAAATGCCTCCTCCAATTTTCAGAATGACGGAATAATCAGGATGATCAAAGCATGATTGCCATGCATCTTCCTTAACTTTTCAACAGCTTTTACGGACCACAAGCAAGCGAAAGCAAGCTAGTGAGAAAGCAGCAGTAATGAAACCCCAGTGTCATGCTGGGAACCAGGCTCAATATGCCACTTAGCTAAGTCTGAAAACAGTGTTAAAGCTAACTTCTCTCAACCTCACAATGTCACAAAATGCAGAAATGGCAGTCAGGAGAATTTTGACTGAGATCGATTGATTAGTTGGACGAAAGTTATCATTATTTAAAAGGTAATTCCACAGTACTTGAGACATAACGTGATTTAAAGGACGATGTAACTGTAATTCTAGACTGATTACAAGACAGATTAACAAAGTGTATTATCGTTTGTCTCACGATGTAGTCACTTGAGATATAGATCGCGACGTTTCGACTGCTTACTGCTAGTCTTCTTCAGGCGATAAGGTCGACTGATTGCACGGTATCATTTATATCANGCCTGAAGAAGACTAGCAGTAAGCAGTCGAAACGTCGCGATCTATATCTCAAGTGACTACATCGTGAGACGAACGATAATACACTTAATTATTGCATCTACCACGATGAATAACAACCTTTTCCTCGATACAAGACAGATTGTTATGAAATTGTACTTCTCTGTTGTCAGCGGAATGATTTCATGGCATAAATTATCATTAATTAATCCTTGCAGCCTATTTGGCTGTCACAGAGGGAACATTCACAAATGACCATGATAGATCTATCTTGAGAGGAAATCTCGTAAAAACTGTCAGGACATTTACTTCTTTACTTAGACTGTGTAAGTTTATTATTTCTCCCTGATTTTCTTTGAAGGAAGAGATTAAAGCCTTATCCAAAACTGAATTGTCCCCTCCGAGACAAAAATAGGGAATGCCGATAAAAATTATTATCTCGTCAAAACAATTGGTGATAATTGAAAGACACTCTGAACTAAACTAACCTGATATTAAGAATTTAAAAATGTAAACTTGGCTGTGCTGTTCTCTAGTTAATATTTTCACTTCCAATGGTGATGTTGTGACTTGAGGGGCAGGGCCAGGCAGATACCAAGACTTTCTGATTACAACAAATAGTTCATGTCTTAGTAATAGTAATAGGACTGAGTGGCATCCAATTCAGTCTGTAATCAAACGAGTGGTTACCAAATTTTTTAAAATTACGAGACCTGGTATGATTACAGAGTGACAGAATTAAAGTCCTGTTACCAATTAATCAAAACTGTGACACAATTTGACGACTATAACCATAGGTTTTTTTACGTCTTGATAAATATTTAACAGTTGATTGTGTTTTAACCATAATGCACCGAAAAAGGAGACTATTGAAGCGTACACTACATCCAATTACAAGCATGACGTGTACACTGTCCTATTTGGGCTAAAATCGGGGCAAATCTTTACAGCGGCACTTACAGGTGAATGGATCCGCAATCAGAAAGTTGCCAAAAAGTTGCTAGGAAAAAAGTTGTCAAAAATTTTAAGTCAAAACCTTTGCCAAGAGGCAATGGTTCACTGTAAAATCATCAAAGATCAGTATCTCGGATTTTATTAAAGGTAACATATAAGTACTGTACCTTACGACATGCCTCAAGGGTAGATAATAAGGAAAACCTCCGTAAACTCCTTCTTGTGGTGCAGGTAATGCCTTGTTAAATATGGGCACATCACTGAATGACTTAATTCCCAGATAATCCAGCGGAGTGATCCAGACACCAGAATCCTCTAGAATCACTTGTTCTTCATTGTTGTAAAATGTTCTTGATATATGCTAGACCAAAGACAAAAACAAAGGCTGATTTAACAGTCAACATGAATTTTTTATCAATTAATTTAGAGGCACAGCTGGAAATAATTATTATAGAGTGCATATCACCCAGATATTATTGTGTTGTAGCCATTAGGAAGATACATGTATCAAGAAATGGTGACTGCACTGAGTTAAATTTGTTTTGTTTACTTTTCAAAGCTTTAACCAATGCAATTTCTACATTTTATCTTTGTTTTTGTGAACAGCATTGAAAGGGCTTTAAGAATATTGGTGACCCTTTCATCTCACTCACGCCCACACACAATGACTGCTCCTTCTCTTAGGTAAATTCTTTCACTTTTACATGCCACATGCACATTCTAAACCAAATAGAAGACAGTGTTCTGTGTTCTCTAAGAAAACAATTAATGATCTTTTGAGGTCTATGAAAAATGTTGTCACCGGCAGTTTTTCTAGACCTGAAGCATGCATTATTTTCTTAGAAGACAAAAACCACCATCTTCTATTTGGTAAAAAAATAGATAACAATATTTAGAGAGGAAGCCCCATCTGCCTTAACTGGTTTTCATGCAGCTTCTCTATCCTGGTCAAACTGGAATTTAGAGTGTTGGTTTTTGTGGCAGGAGGAAAACCAGAGAACCCAGAAAAAAACTGTCAGAGCAAGGCAAGAACCAACAACAAACTGAACCTACCTATGACACCAGGGCAGAATCAAACCTGGGCCACATTGGTGGGAGGCTAGCACCCTCACCACTGCACCATCCCTGGCCTCCCCAGTTACCCTTAGCTTTTAGTATTATCCATAGCTAGCCATTGACCAGAACCACACAGGGTTTGTACAGTTTTCCAGAGCTCTAAGCCTTTTAATACCTCTTTTTGCACAGTTGACCTGCCTTTTCAAACTCATCAATTATTCATCAAGTTAAACCAAAGAAAATCACAATGGTACCGTAATGGAGGTTTGGATACCTGGCCTTAATTAACATAGATTTTGACGATTTTTCTTCACCATTTACTCCTTAGTTTTTGTTTCAATTGAGATCATATATCGAACACTCAAGACTGACTGTTTCATTGGCTATCCAAACACCTTGGATTTTGGCAAAAATACTCCATTGCCCGTCATATTTGCAACTCTCTTCTCAGTGTTTGGATATACTGACGAAAGAGTGTCTCTCATGTTTGATACTGTATATTACATTAGTAACAATTCTTACCTGAAAGAAAACCCTCTTAGGGCATTGATTGGCTGCTGAATAAGGAAATGAAAGCCCTAAGAGAGACGTCAAAAGTGCAAGGGCAGATACAAATATCAGAAAAGTTGCTGGAAGTTTAAGACTGCCCATCATATACACAGTACTAACCTGAAGACAAGAAGAATCAAGTTAAACTTTATTATTTTAAATTATACAGTCATGTAACAAAACCTTTTCGGATTAAGCTCAGAAGTTCAGTTCTCCTTGCCATTCCTCATATATATACTGTAAATATTAATGGGAGAATTTTGCCTGAAGCCAATATCTTATCAGGCTTTATGATCTTCCCTGGTGGAGGAGGGGGGCAAACTCCTTTATGAAAAGGACAGGGGTGCTTGTCAAAAATTTTGAAAAGAACCCCTGAGAGGTATTACAATCCTGTTTTGTGTGAGTGGTTTGAAATTTTTTTTTCACCTCTAAGAGGTATCAATTCGAATGCAACACATTATATGACACTGACTTTCTTCGGCTCAATGCGCTAAAAGTACCACGAAAGCTCCTGCTGTAGACAATTTGAGGCTGAAAACCCTAAGAGGTTCCAAACCTGCTTTTTAAACCCCTAAAAGGTATGATGAGCACCCTCGTCCTTTTTACATGGTCCCAAGTCCCTGAGGATAATTTCCAAGACTATAATTTGTTACCAAAGATGAAATCCTTTTCATTGCTGCCCCAGATTCATTTTTAATTTATTATAGATTAGACCACAGTTGGTCAGGGGTCTTTTAATACATGTGCATATGGAATTCCTGGCTTTTGAGCTCTTACATTTTTATTTGACCCTTTATCCCAAGGGAGGTACTACCTATAATGGACTATTATGGGGAGGTTCACACTAACTTGGCCTCAGAATGCTGGAAATATCATTTCTGAGGACTTCAAGTTTTCAAAAAATGTTTTGGGGAGCATGCTCCTGGACCCCCCTTTGGGGGTCCGCCCTTGGCGGACTCTATCTTGAGCCCCCTTCTCTAAAATCCTGTATCTGCCCCAGCTCTAAATTCAAACTCAAATGCAAATCAACCGAAGATGACCTGCATGTACTTACCACATAAGAAGTTAACATTACAACAGCAAAGGAACAAAGTACAGCTATAAAGACATCTGGAGGTGTTTCAGTTCCAGCTCGACCCATGATTGGGACAAAAACATCAAGCACTCCAATCGTTATATAAGTACAGAACTGAACTGGTATTAGGATTGCTAGGAAATACATGAACGCAAATGTCTCTAGCTTTCGATGAGCTGTCTTCGTTGCGAGGAAGGTCTCCCATATAAAAACCCGCACTACTAATGGAAAGATAACCAGAAGCAATGGTAGATGCGCCGAAGCCAGATGATAATAAGTCATGATTGAAAGGATTACTGTCCAGACTAACAAAGATGCATAAAATGTTTCTGTTTCTCTTGCTGCAAGACAACTTGCTATCCTGTCTTCAGCAGAAGTTGTCTGCTTGCCCTTCTCCATCACAGGTTTGCTCTGAAAATAAAATATAATTTCTTTAGCTTTTTAAAACTACATATAACATGGGTATACATGTATTACATCTGTATGGAATGTGCAGTTCCAGAAAATATCCTTACTCCTCCAACAGAAGGGATTGGAATTTCCTGGGGGAGGGGTCTGTAAGACCAAAAGAATTAAAGAAATGACTGTATATCGAATTTCGAAAGAAGTTGAGGGGGAGGGAGTCTTAGAAAAATCCCTTCTGTGGGAGAGGTATGGATATTTTCTTGAATGACACAATGCAAATATAATTATAATTGTGTTTCACTTTTAACTGTACAGTATCTAAGATTTAATCAAATAAATGTTACCACAGGGTCATATACAATTATAAGGCTCTAAAATGACTACGCTGGCCAATTGTGCTTTTCAAATATAACAAAAGAATTCTGCCCAATCAACAGTTTCATGTCTTGCTGTCATCAATCACCTCACCTGACCTCTCAGGAAACAGAAATTTACTTGAACAGTGGGTTCAAATGTCCTATTGGCAATCTTCATAGATTTCTTAACCAATAAAAACTATCAAGCTTAAAATAGGTGGTATGATAAAAATTAAATGGTTATTGAATTCAGCCTGGAGAAGAAAATATTTTGTTCTGACTTGATCATCTAAACTTTGCTATGTTGTAGACTCTATATGCAACTTTGAGTGAAATATTTTAATTTGTCTTTTTGAGGTAGAAATCAAGGATTCTGGTCTCCCTTAGGCTGTTGAAAAATGCCACTATCTAAATACATGTAGCTGTCAAAGTATCTTTTAGGTTGCAGTCAAAGAAATAATAATAACTTAGACTGTTCAAAACACTCTTACATGTATTTCGATTTTTAGGCTTGATTTCTGCGAACTCTCGGGTCTGCTCCACTAGACTAAGTGTGGGCTCATTTCTTGAACAGCGGCTGGTAATTAAGCCTATTTCATTTTCAATGGTTTCTTAAATTAGGGGTCAAATGAACCTGAAACCACACCCAGATTGGTCTCCTTGAGGGGTTCAATTCAAATTTTCTGGTGAGCATCCCCAACCTTTTCATACAGGTGTCCCCTAACCACCCCCCTGGGAATCATACCTTTGACACAAGATATCTCCTTGCTAGGAAGTGAACAAAACCAACACCAAACAGAGATGGAGCGGCATACAATGGCAGAAGCAGGTAGGGTCGGCAATACCAAGTGAGAGAGTGTCCAGTATATGTCAGAAGTATAGCAATAGCAACTGGCGTGGCAATACCAACCAACCATGATAATAACAGAACCAACAGAGAGGTGAATAGATCAGTTATGGATGACATATGTCTTGCAGCTTCACCTGAAAAAAATAAACAAACAAACAAACAATCAGAGAAAGAATGGAAGAGATTGAAACCATTGTGTTTTTATTTTTGTTATCAAAACTGGCATAAAACTGAAAAAAAAATTACCGGTAATAACAATGAACACCCTGAGAACATATTTTGTACCCCAATGAGATAGAACTTCAAGAAGAAAGCAAAAATTAAAAAGAAAATATTTGAAGCCAGTTAGATTCTTTGAAATGTTGATGAAACATATCTTCTCAAGTTGAAAGCCCAATAGAAAATTTTAGTATGAATTTCCAATTCTAGTCTTAGCAAAATTTGTCTAATTCTGTAGATAATTTCCTTTAAAATATAAAACACATTCAATTTGATGCATGCATAGCTCACTTTCTCTTCAATTGTCTTTGGCCAAACTAATGCCATAATTATAATATGGTACTTATCAACCTCAACATTTGGTCTTGACAGGAAAATCTCAAACTTTGGTCTAACGTCACAGTGAATGAAATTATCAATAATTATTAACAATTAGACCCCTAGCCTGCAAGGGCTACAGGTCAATAGCCCATGAGGCGAAGCCAAATGGGCTATTGACCCGTGGCTCTTGAGGGGGAAGGGTCTAATTGTTTGAGTATCACCCAACTAGTTGGACAGAAAAGGCAATAACAATGTTAGCAAATGCAAGTTGAAGAAATATTTTTTTGGGAATAAAGTGAAAGAAAGTGCTATGCTCGATTGCGCCAATTTCGCTACTCAAGGACTATAACTTATAGTCCTCTAGTAGCATGGCCAATTAAAATGCAGGATTTGCATTAGTCCACTAGTTGGGTGATAAGTAGGTAAGGTAAGGTAAAGTCTGCATACGAGCCAAGTGGCCCATCAGGCCGGAGCTTATCCCGGTTTCTGTAGNAGAGGCACTGTGAGAGTAAAGTGTCTTGCCCAAGAACACAACACAATGTCCCCGGCCAGGGCTCAAACCCTGACCGCTTGATCCGGAGATGAGCGCACTAACCATGAGGCCACCGCGCCTCCAATTGGGTGATACTAGTCAGAGTTAACTGGGAGATCAGCTGCCGGCCAGCAGATGATCACCCCAGACATGCATAGTTGTGTCATTGCTGTGTAGCTTTGCTCTTGTGGTCTTGCTCTGCGTACATGTAGCTTTGTCTCGTCTGCATTTGGTTTGCCCCCTCCCACCCACCTATTAGTTCATGGTGGGCCCTTGTGTCTAGGTAAGTATACTTATTCTCCATTGAGAATTCAGTGTGACAGGTGCCAGAGGGAGGAGACCCATGGGAAGTTGCCATGGTGGGGCTCAATTGCAAAGAACTCACTATGTGCGGAGGAAAGAATCAGGCTTTTAGCTAGATGGGTATCCATGCATCCTGTGGAGGGCCACTTTTTAAAGAAAATAAATTGTTCTATTTTTCATATGTTCCCTTATAAATTGTTCATTTGAGAAGGCCCTATAGCAAGTTTTGGACGCCCACTTTTTAAACCCTGGCTAAAAGCCTGAAGTGAATGGCATAAATTCTTAGGTTTCTGTACCTTCTGTGGTATTCTTCCTCACTGGAAATTGAACAAACTTTTTAAGGAGACAAAGAACTGCCACTGCAGCAGTCACTATGTTTAGAACAAAACCGATTCTTTCTGGATAATGAACCATGACTACCCCAAGGAAGTCAAAGAAGACCATAGCACCATGCCGATACTCTCCAGGGTCAACTAAAAATGGTGAGTTGATGATACTCTTAACAAGGGCCAGTATGTTATCACCAGCTCGCTGAATGGAGCCTGGAGTCACGGCGGCTGGACTGTCATAGTTGGTGTGGTAAACATAGCCATTAGCAGTGTAGGCAAGGTCCATTCCTAGACATCACAAAAGCAAACCAATTCAAAGTGATATTATTAGCTTAATAAAAAATGTCATACGTACAACTCTAGTTTACATGTAAGNGCAGTCGAAACGTCGCGATCTACATCTCAAGTGACTACATCGTGAGACAAACGATAATACACTTCATTAAACCAGTTGTTGTTTGCGGTAACTTTATTTTCCCGCGCTTGACGTCATGTTACAGCTAAGCACTCTGATTGGTCCCTTCCATTATTTACATTTATAGTGATTGGTCAGCTTAAATCACTTTGGTCTGCGTTAACGACGCCTATGACAAATCGGCTCTATCTTTCTTTACGTCTTTTTTCAAACAGTTGAGCTAGTTTTCCATGAGTACATCTGAAAGAAAAACTTCAACACAGCGAATAATTGCAAAAGAAACGAGCTTTATGAACGCGTGCGTGTATTTGAATGCTTAGATGTAGATCTAGCTATTGCGACGGTGGCTGCCAGATTTTAATGTTTGTATGAATCCCAGCTGCACTTTACGTTTGTCAACTAGTCTCAAATTAATGGAAGAACTTTATTAGAGCACATAATGAGCTTTCTAGGCAAGTTAGGTTATGTTATATCTAAGTTGCAACTGCAGCTATTGTTGTTGTTTTCTTTTGTTTTGTTCTGTTTTTTTGTTTTTGTTGTTGTTTTTCGCCTCTTGTATTACACCAAATCGTAAACAACAGGCGAAAAAGCTGGATGTTTCTTTCGCCTATTAATGTTACCACACTATGTATCTCTGTCCATGTTACATTCCTCAGGTCTCCACAGCCATTTGTGACGTGATGGGCACATCACAACAAATCGTCAACATGTTTATCCACTGCAGTTGGTGCAACGAACACTTCAGTATTAAAGTATTACAGCATATAAGGGTATGTCTATATCACTTCTCTTATGCACTGATCCTTGCCTAGGTCTTCGTCAAAGTGATTAATCTACTAGTCCTGCCCTACCCTGGGTAAAAGGAATCTTCACGGGTTCAATTTATTGCTCCGCTCTGTAGAGACATGGTTGAGATTTGATTCGAACATTTTCTTAGTGTTGATGTAGCCCTTAAGATTTTCGTGCCCAAGTATCAGGATATACATAGCGCTATCTGTTCTCTGTAGCAGTAGGTCATCACTCTGAAAAACGTCACTCGTTATGTAATTTATCCCCCCCTCCCACCTTATCGGCATTGTTCATTTGAGCAGACCCTATTGCACGTTATGGATGCCCACTTTTCAAATGTCAGGTAAAAGCCTGATTCAAAGGCCTGCTGCACTATATCGTACGATATATTTTTCAACACTTGAAATAATCTTTAGATTTGGAGGTAGAACTGTAACTCAATGTTTAGGAAATCAGAGGAATTTCAGGAAAATAGCAGTTTGGCGTAAGATCCAGGGAACCTGAAGCTATAACTGAGATTAAAACTAGTTATAACCTGGGTTCCAGTTTAACTTCTGCTGATGGAAGAGAAATCTAAAGTCTAAAGTGCTTTTTTATAAGAAGCAACGATATCATTATTAGTCTGTGTTAATCATTTTGTTTGCTTCTATTTTTCAGGCGCTTCTTGCTACTGTTTCCGCAAATGACATGAAAAATCTGTTTTGTGCTCTTCTTGATTTACTGGTAAAATGACTCTTCTGTTATAGTCAAGTCTCGAATCTTAAAGTAGATAAATCACGGTTTGTGTATCTTGACAAGTTAACTTAAATTTTCCAAGTTCGTTGTTTGCAATCCGTGTTAATCTTCTCTGTCCTTAATCACCCTTGTTCCTTTATGGTTTATTGTTATTTCTTTGGTGTTTTTCTATCTTAATAAATTTTTACTGTTAGGTTTCCTTTGACAATTTGAAGGTAATTTGGTACGTGGCCAAGATAACTCAAAATAACGTAACTAAGCTCCTTTTAGCTACATTTACACCGACGTTAACTTGTTTAAGTAAACTGAGATTAAAATTTGAAACAATGACAGTAAATCAAAAGGTAAATATTTTACATGGTAAAATCACCTTCCACTTCATTCCTCAAGAAACCACTGCCAGGGATGTTGCCAAATTCCAGAGGAGAATCATTTAGGGGACTGGGGACTGGCTGAAGTATGGCGATTTTGAAAAACTACCATAAGTTACAGCTTATGGATGGTTTCCAAGGGCAATCAATTGACCAATTAAAAGCGGGCGTGCTCTACAATTTAGCGATTGGTTCTTGAACTTTATTTGTTATTTTTCTGACAGATGGTAGAAGATCCCTTGCAGTTGTTGCGTATAAAGTGTGTGGCGGATGAGCAAGGTGATGGAGTGTTAGGTGAGTTGTTATTCTCTAATCTGATCACCTCGTTAATGACAGGAATCTAATTAAACCAGTATCGACGTAGTCCTTGAACTTCCAAGACCCGTTACAGATCGATATTCTCCCTCGTAGGGGAAAAGCCGAGAACATAAGCTTTTAGGTGATTTTGTCTTAACTGATGTGTTTTCAAGTTTAATCAATGACCAATATGTGGCTAAAGATCAAAGGAGTCGCTTGACCTTTTTTTTTTAACTTGTCATGGGGGGCCAAATCTATCCAAAGTTAATTCCCATTGTTTTGAAAGCAAATGAATTAAATACTGGTAATCCAAACGGATCCGTGGCTGCGAGGCACAGTTAACAGTTCAAAAGTTCTAAATAGTAATAATTCAGTGCCAAAATATACTCAAGTCTATAGCGAACGTTCCGAGCGTATCCCTTCCTCGTTGCCACGTTTGGGATAAAATAATCTATTATACACCAAGCGTTGAATAATATAATAAATGCGGCTTTGATTTTCGCTCGAACCAGACGTAGCATTAAAAAAGTGTCTTACAATTTTATTTCTCTGCTCAAACTCTGGGCGAGAGAGATGCCTGAATTTTGAGTGCGTTGAATGAGTATTGCTACGCCGTACTTAAAACTGCGCGCGTGATTAGCATACGACATTTCAGACGAATAACTTTCCTTCCGTTTTGGGATCCGGGTTCCCATATTTGTGTATTGTTAAAAATCCTGTCTAGGCACACTTCGCGTTCACGCACGTTTAAAGGATTTGAGGTTCAATTTTTATTCTCTCTTAGATTTTTTTATTTTCTTTCTTTTATAGCCGTTATCAAGACAAGTAACACGGCTGACAGTCGCCGTGCGTACCAGTGTATTAAATTCTTGGTTCAACTTGCAAACAAGTGTCCACAAGCGAAAGATTACTTACTGCAGAACTCATCTCGTTGGCAATGGGCTGTTCAGTGGCTCAAGAGAAAAATGAACGAGCATTACTGGGCACCACACACGTCATCCTCCAATGAATACTCCTCGAGCCGAACATTTCAACGAACCTCCAGCGCTGCCGACACTCTCGCCGAAGCTACAGCGTTGCTTACCGAGCTCGAGGCGAAGGATGGCGAAGCTAGCACGACTGATGACGTAGACGACTCAGCGAGCAAGTTTGAGGTCGGTGGGCAAGAGGACTGGGAAAAAGAAATGACAAATTAAGTAGCGGTGAGAAACATCGAATGAAAGACACAGCTTCTTGCGTAAACACTTAATGTGTCGAGTGCATGGAGAACAGAACTGCTTACGACCAAATGTCAACAAAAAGAAGCCCGCATAAATTTAAGTCAATGGCCGACGAGTTATTCAATTTAACTTGACAGCGTTTTTGTCATCAACATTTGGACAAGGAAATCAAAGCCTAAAATTACATTTCTGACTTGGCAAGTGCGAAACATGGACAGTAAAAAAGTTTGTATTTTATGAGATGCGATTATCTGAAAACTTTCCATTTGCCGTCTTTTATGCTTTCACTGACTAAAGTCTAATTTCTCCTTACAAACGCATAGCATGATAAAAAAAGTATCAATTAAGAGGTTCTTGTCTTGATTAACCACTTAATTTTCACAACCATTATTAGAAGAGTCGTACCACAATCAGTAAGGAGAATTCTTAGTTTAATCTTGCGACTGCGGAATGACGTGCGAGAGCAATGAATATGCCCGCGCATATTGCTGTCAGCGACGTTGCTTAGCAACTTCATGTAAGTTTCTGACGCAATACAGAGTCGCGCCCGTCCACGCGCTACTTTTCTGATCGGAATTATGTAATGTTCGATTTATCAATTTTCTAACATGGCTCCGAGGCTTTTAGGGCAAAGTTGATGATTGGTTAAGTTTTCTTTGTCTGTCAATTCCCAAAAGAGACTTGGATACAAAGAAAGCACCACCAAAGATAGAGCGCTTTCCATTCAATGTCAAATCCGGTTTGTATATCCGGAAATTTCCAGTGACGAATGGTATAGCATTTTACGAATTTCCTGAAAAGAGGACAAACTTGCGAGGTAAACCAAACTTTTCGGAAATATCTTACCGGGAATTTGCGTTCCATTTGACTTCCTCTCTAAATTTTCGGTTGGATGGTTCGCTTTTCGGAAATTCAACAACTTTCGGATTTGCGGAAACTTTCAGAAATTTCGGAATTTTTGGTTGAATGAAAAGCTTCCATAGGAGTTTGTCCTGAAAGCCCCGGAGCCATGTTATAATATTGATACATCGAACGCGCTCTATTGTTTTCCCGTGGAATAACTAGTCCGTATTTTTTATACACAGAAGTGTTTATAGTACTTTGTAACATCAGTGTTCAACGGGGTGGATTATGCAGTGTTTTCATAGGAAAACTTAGTAAAGAGTGCAGTTATGCTCTCTCCTCGTACTAACGTAAGTAAAAATATGAAAACCGCTAAACTTTTTACCTAGTGAATCTCGCGGATTCGTGTTATTCAGGAATAATCTGTGTTGTAAGAGTGCCTCGGAAGAAATATTCTGTGAACATAAAATGTGAATTTGAATAAATCTTTATTACGACTTTCCGAATGTGATGTTAACCCGTGCATTGCGTAAGCAAGCTGCGGGTTGTCTTGATGGATCAGAGTATGCAAATTAGGAGGTTGGTCGATCATATGTTGAACTTCCCATCGTAATTCCGCTGTGTCGCTGGCGCATATATCGTCTGACATCTTTAGGACAACGTGTTAGGTAACTGTGAGTGTTGCGCTAGAAATGGAACTGTTAGTTGAAATAACTCAAATGAAATGGTTGTTAAAACTTCTGGTTAATTTGTTCGGCGAAAGTGTTAATGGCAGCTTGTAACAGTTAGCTCAGTTAACTCAGATGAATTGTGTGTTAGAATTTTCGGTTCATTTGTGGGTGAGAAAAAGTGTTTATAATCTTTGGGGTCTACGTCACACAATGGTGACGTAGATGCTGTGAAGGAGACAAGAAAAGAGTCACGAAAACGTTGGCTGATATCTGTCAACATTGTTTTACAGAGTTGGTAAACAGATTTTCAATAACCTCTATACTGTGGGCATGAAGTCAGGAGAAAAGATCTTTGTGAAAGCTTGCCATCAATATCACTATCTTCAGTTGATGAAGCTTTGGTTATTGCAAAGGTTAGCCTATTTGTCAAACGTCATTCACAGGTTTGCTCATAGGGAACTTTGATCTTTACATTTATGGCGACTCGGGAGAGAACCCACGACGGGCTGCTGTCTAGTGTCGGGATAGCACGGGGCTTTTCTCGGGAAATGCCTAAAAATTGAAAATGACAAGATTTATCTATTGAAATTTCCAACCGCTATGGAACAGTTGGAGCTGTCGTATTTCCTGTTAAGGTATCCTCTGAGAGAAATTAAATTTATACCGTCGTTGCATGACTCTTGACTATGAGAAACGTGGAAAACGAAATTAAAACCTGTTTTAGTGCTTGTCGGTTTACGGCAGTTTTCAGCCCAAAAAGTAGCTAGCGCTATTATCTGACTGAAATCCAAAGGGGAGGATGATTCCTTTTTATTTTTATCAAAAAAAATAAAAAGTAGGAGAAACCTGCGTTTCATGAGCCGCTTTTCGCCTGATATTTCAACACGAGATCAATTTTAACCAATAACGACAATTAAGTGGTCAACTATAAGACTGAGGTCATAGTTGAATCGGCCCTTAGAAATCTCCAGCTCATAATCTAATGAACAGCGTGACTTAGGGCGAGCGCAGTTCTAAAATGAAAAACGCTTTTTTGCCGTCTATTTCCTGTGGAAGTGGAAGGAGGTGGTTTCTGAGCTTTTTGAGTTGTAATTTTATGACGAATTGATATCAAAGAGGCGGTGAAATATTTAGGGGAATAACAAAATTAGCCATTGTGGTAAGTTGGGTTTTACATTAAATTTTATGTGCGGAGTTTCAAGTGTTTTATTAAAATTTGAGCCAGACTGAAAGTTTTATTTCGAAATAGAGCGATGTTCCTCGTGACGTCACGAGCTCCTTGGCTTGCAAAGATCGAAGACACAGTCGAAGCTATCGTAAGCGACCACCTCGGAATTTGGAAAAAGTGGTCGTAACTAGAGCAGGTCGCTTGCAAGAATGAGTTCTCGTGGGCGACCGCATGGTAAAACAATAGAAGGTGGTCGCTTATAAGAGAGCTGCAGAAACTCATTAATAATTCGTAAAGAAAAAAGAAAAGAAATTAATGTTAAATGAGTATATTTATATCTGATATAGACTTAGCTAAACTTAACGTTCAATTTTTAAACCAAGATAACCATTAGCGTAGTGTGCAGTTTCATTAAAGCCCGTGTTGATTTATATGTAAAAGACTCTGAATGGTCGCTTACAAGAGCTTAAAAACAAAGGAAGAGTCCAGTTAGATAATCCCAAAAATGGTCGCGATCGCCTACGCGAGTGGTCGCTCACGAGAGCTTTTCATTACAAATTTAAGTCACAGTTCAAACGGTGTTTCACAAAGGTGGTCGTAGCTAGAGCCGGTGGCTTACGAGAGTGGTCGCAAGGAGAGCTTTGACTGTAACAAGAAAATTACAAATGACCGTGATGCTTAACTGCGCTCCCTTCACTTCTATGCGAGATTTCGTGCTAGAACTTATCGGGTAGCCAATCACAGCGCAGGATTTGATTCATCTTGCCCGCTCACGGAGCTAGCTATATAATAACGTATTATTTGTACCTTACCCATATTCGCAATTAGCCAATCAGAAGCCGTGTCTACTGTCCTGATCAATATCCTGCGATATCAAGTCACTGACCTAACATGGCTACGATATCATGCTGACTTGGCCAATTGAGGTACGGTAAATACCTAATCGTACCTTTTTGGTACAGGCTCGTTTGGTCGAGCCATGGGTATTTTGGCTCGACTACATGTCGACAAAATACGAACCATGGCTCGACCAATCTCACCTGATATGCCACCGAAACGTACCAAAAAGACACGATTAGGTATAAGTATCACGCAGTAACTATAATCCTGGCAGCTGGGAATAGTAGTAGTATGGCTGCCAAATTATCCTGATGAGCCCATCATTTTAATTTATTCAAAATGGC